GCAAATAGTGGTAGTCATCATCATCATCATCATCCTGTCTCTTATACACATCTAGATGTGTATAAGAGACAGCACACACACACACACAGCGAGACGCACCCTTAGTCCAAGTCAGTCATCCACCCTCTCTCTCTCTCTCTCTCTCTCTCTCTCTCTCTCTCTCTCTCTCTCTCTCTCTCTCTCTCTCTCTCTCTCTCTTGGCCCCGCTGTTAATAGGACTGCAGAGCGTACTACGTCACATAAAACAGGGTCGTTCTGACCATATCAAGCAGGCAATTCTGGCCACATTAAAGGCGAGCACTCACCAAGCGGATGAACAAACGAAGTGAACCAATGCATTCTTTTCGAGGGTCAGCTAACGGTAGTGTTGATTATTGGTACAAAATCCTACCTACCACTACTGCTAAGGTTAGTTCTTACGGTGGACCCTAAATTGCCGAACCTAATTATTATGGGCCCGAAAGAATCGAGCCGGTCCCCACCAGGTCGGTACATTGGAACCGCGGCGGCTGAGAGTTTCGGAAGGGGGAACCCCCCCCCCCCCCCCCCCCCCCCCCCCCCTTACTCGTAAAGGAAAACGTGATTATTGGTAGGTCGAAAGGGAAAAAAAAAAAAAAAAAGAAGGGTGTGCTAGCCCAGCGTCCCGCGTTACAGGTTACGAGAAGTAGAAATAAAAAATCAAAAAATCAAAACGGGGTCCATTACTGATCATTATTATTTAATTATTACTCCTGCCGTATTAAGGTTGGGAATGTACGGCTGGGCTTAATCATCATCGCTTCGCTGATGCTGCTTCTGGTTCATAGCCGGGGTCCTCCATAGGTTCTCGATTTCCTCTTTTTTGGGATTTCTCTGTTTTTTTTGTTTTTTTTTTTCCTTTCTGCCTTTCATCTTACCGGTGACGTTCTCAGTGTCCGCAGACGTCCCAGCACCACAGCAGTAGATGTTCGGAGCTATGTAATGAATCTTCTCACAATTCTTGTCGCACACAATATCTCCCTCTGTCGCGCGAGTGTCTGCTCCCAGAACAACGCCATCCTGCCGCCCAAACCACCACACAATGAGTCCTCCTACACAATCCTTAAAAAAAACACAACTCTCTCTCTCTCTCTCTCTCTCTCTCTCTCTCTCTCTCTCTCTCT